AGGAGTATGAGGTCGGCCCAATGTATGGCTCTAGGCTCTATTTTCTTGGATTTCTGGCTTGCTTCCACTCATTCTTCATTCTTCTGAGCACACCTCCAGATTCTATCAATCCTTTTGTCTTTCCTTTGGCAGTTAGGTTCTTCAAAGGAGATCGAATCCCTCTGGCCTGCTATTTCTTGGGAACCTTTATTACCAGTTGGATCTGCTACATCGAGACATGGTACATTTTGTGGGTCGGTATGAGCCTATCTCCTTCATTCACAGTCAGTTCCTGCTCTATTTCTTTTTCGAGGGGTTTTCAAAGTTTGCCCCTACTCTGACTATATTCGAGGCAGAAATTCTTCGGGAGATCGTGGATAAAGAGAGGATCCCCGTGCTCGGTAATGATGGGTCTCACACATTTAAGAAATCGAAGACTTACCAACCGTTGATCACACGTTGGTCACGTGTCATTTCCACCATATTCCTGAATACTTTGGTAAATGATTCTCGGTGCTTTGTGGCACGCCCCTATGTATGCCCACCGGTGGGTGTGGCAACGCCACTTATCTATCATGGTTCCTCCAACCTGGTGTCCTTTCCCTTGCTGAAGGACATCTCTGCACACCTTGTTGATATGCTGACAATGGTTCGTCCCAGTTCATTACCGGTATGGCATGAGGAAGGCCTTGATAGCACCATCTATAGACCTGACAGAGTAGCATGCTAATTCGGGTTTGACTAGTGTGTCCCGGGGCCAACACCTCTTTTATTATCTTTTTCAGAAAGCAACAAGCGCTTTACTCGCGGACTTGTACACACCATGCTTCTTGTATCTGGCTCTTTGACGATACCGGGTTTGAGCCGGGTAAGGGGTTTCACCCCTTCTTTCAAGAGATATTGGCAAAAAAAACATTGATGCATTTATTGAGTTTGTCCAGAGTAAACCGACTATATATCTGTCTCTACCGATTTATAAGAAGGTCTCTTCTATTCAACTGCCTAAAAGTTGGAAATCTAATCATATGAATGAGAGCTTCTTCACGTCATCTGCTCTGACTGACCCTCCAACTCAGATATCTACTTCTAGCTTGGCAATTGCTTCTCTAGAACCAATCCTTCTGAATAAGGCTTCTGGTCTTCGGATGACCCGCCTTAAAACAATGGCCCACAAAAGGGCTTCTAATGCCAGTCCTTCCACTCCTCGCCTTTCCAACAGGCTTCATCAAGTACTAGATAGACATCTTAATTTTTTTTTCTGTTGATTTGAAGTTACTTTCCTTTTTGCGACTATACATTCTTAAATGAACACTCTTTACTTTCCCTATTGTGCAGGACCCTACTCCGTCTTTTGACCCTGCGGTTGCTGACGTTCTCGGTACCGTGGCAATTGGCCACGTTGCCCCTACCAGGCCGGACTCAGACCTGGATGCACTCTCTTTTTGTTTATAACACTCGTGAAGATGCACACCCCTCATATAGCAGTTATAGATGATGATGATGATGATGATGATGATGATGATGATGATGATGATGATGAGTCTTCTGATCATTTTTGTGACCTTGTCCCGCATATGCGTTGTCACCTTCCTATTGTGACTGAGGATGCCTCCCCATTGGTCAAATATTCCTCTCCTTGCTCAGTTTCAGGAGGAGAGCACCATCTTGGGCGACTAGCTTATCGGGGCTCACTGTTCTAATGTTGAGATTATTGAGAACCATGGCTCTGGTGTTGAGATTGTTGAAGGGACTAGTGCCGCAGGAATTGATGCAGCAGGACATGCTTCTGGAGGCAATGTAGAGATGAGGTGTACTTCTACAAGACATGCTTCTGGAGGCAATATAGAGATGAGATGTGCTTCTGAGGGACATGCTTCTGAAGGCGATGTAGAGATAGGGTGTGCTTCCGCAAGACATGCTTCTGGAGGCAATGTGAAGATGAGATGTGCTTCTAAAGGACATACTTCTGGAGGCCGCTTAAAGATGAGGTGTGCTTCTGGTAATAGTGTGGATGAGGATGTGCTATAAGTCTCTGAGACTCGTTCTGGCACTATCCTTCCTTCTTTAGTGTTGACTACTATTGTTCTGGCTTCATTAGACGTTGAGATCGATTAGGTGCCCCTTGTATGGCCAAATGACTTTATTGATGCTAGGAGCCCTTCAGTTACCCCGACTTTGCATAATGATTCTTCCTCAGGTAATCTTGCTTTCTGAAGTTTGTTATGTACTTCTATCTGTGAGAAATTTTTACTCAAATGGCTTTACTGCTCTCTGCCTCTAATAAGACTTCCTTATCTTTTCTTTAGTGTTAGCCGCTACCAAGGTCCTGCCTTTACCTGCCTCAGACTCTACTCTGACTCTCTTTGTGACTTCTCATGGCTCTCTTTCTCGAAGGGACACACCTGCCTTTGAAACGACTGCTAGAGGCTCTTCATCGCAAGTGCCTTCGAATGTTTTGGATCTAAATCTTAGTGATTTCCACTTTGATAGTGATGCTTTTGGCCTTTCCCCTCATCGGCCCGTATTCTCAGGCTCGGGACTTATCCTAGAAGTTACCCCTTCAGGTGGTTCATCAAACCCAATAGAAATTAAGGAGGTTCCTGAGCCTAATACCTTTCTGGCCCTAGTTCCTCCTCTGACTTCTGGCAAAGTACCATTTCTCCACTATTGGGTAGCTCCTAAGTTTGCGTCGGTTCAACAGCTTGTGCATTCGAGTTACCTTGTGACCTTTACTTTCTTTGCTTGCCAATGTCCGCTCATTCAGATTGCTCTACTCGAGTCTTTTGCTACTATCTTATATAGCTTGGATAGGCAACGACTATGTGACCTTAATAGGAAAGTAGTCGAGACAGCATATAATGGGATCTCTGACATGGAGCATCATTAAGTGAATCTATCTTGGCTTCGAAAGCGCCTGGATATAGCCTAGAACGCCAGTCGACGGGTAGAAGTTTTATCTGTGCTCACCTCTTATCGGACCTCTATAGATGAGACAAAGGCAACTCTTCGTGAACTTGAGTTGGGCTATGCTCGGGCCTTTGAGACTTTAGAGGCGCACTTTGCTGTTTGTCCTCGGGATGTAGATGTGACGGGCAACTTCTTCGAGGGTGTTTTTAAGAGAGATTGAGTTTTTTTTTTATTACTTTCTTGCCCCTTTCAATAAAAAAATGTTTTATCTAGGATAATGCAATGAAATGACAACATCTTTGATGTTTGGAGATTTTCACTATTTTCTCATTCTACTTGATAAAATATTTATTTCAAATGATACAATGGAAAGAAAAATCACATGCACATGTTCATAAAAGTTGAAATATTCTCATTAATTCTTCAACTTTCTTGATAGAAGTATAATATATTCACCACAAGTGATGGAACAAACATACACTATAAAGGAAACTGGCTTCTTCATAACATAAGGGAAATACAACTTTTAGACAAAGCAAGAAAATGAAAATGAAAATGAGTTTCAACATAGATGAGTCTATCTATGGATAGTAACGCTTGATAAACTTTGCATTGAGCGGGCCAGTTTAAAAGCCATCTTCAACCCTTACAAGCCTGTAGTACCCGCTTGAGCTTGTTTGAACCACCTTGTAGGGCCCTTCCCATTTCAGAGAAAACTTGGGCAGAGGTGGTCCTCGTATGATTAGGTCTACGATCTTCCATACTAGATCACCTTCTTCGAACTTTCTTGGCACCACAGTCTGATTATAGGCTCGGGCGATGGACTCGTGATACCTTTCTATGACTTTTGCGGCTCTGTCGTACTTTTCCTTTAATGCCTCCAATCTGGTGGTTCGAGGCTCCAGCACCATCCCCGAGTCGAGAGCCATCCGAGCAGATGGTGTTTCCAACTCTATAGGTAACACTGCCTCGAACCCATACACAAGGGAGTAAGGAGTTGCTTGAGTTTGCTTTCTCTTTGAGGTGCGATATACCCATAGGGCTACTATCAACTGTTCGGACCAAGTCCCACCAAATTCATCCATCATCTTGCTCAGAATCCTTATTAGTGTCTTGTTTGTGGCCTCTGCTTGCTCGTTCCCTTTTGGATAATAGGGTATAGATTTGTGATGTTTCACGTGGTAAGTCTCTAGGAGGCTCTTCACATATTTGTTTATGAAGGGTGTGCCATTGTCCGAAAGGATGGTGTTCGGTACTCCGAACCGACAAAAGATATTTTCCTTGATAAAGTTCGCAACTGCGGGCGCAGTAGCATTCTTCAGAGAGATTGCCTCGACCCATTTTGTGCTCAACTCCGTAGCTACAAGGATCCACTTATAACCTTTAGATGGTGAAGAGATAGGCCCTATTAGGTCAAAAGCCCAGGTATAGAACAACCATGGCATTTGGATACTGTGCAGATCTACGGCCAGCGCATGAATCAAATTTTCGTGTTTCTGACAAGTCTAGCACCTCTGCATGTGATAAGACGCATCTGACTCCATGGTCGGCTAATAATACCCAAGGGGTATAAGCTGCTCGAACAGCTGAGCCCCACCTTGATGCTCAATTTCATGGGCTCTTATGAGGACTAGATCCGACTCCTCATTAGAGAGACACCTTAGGGGAGTGCCCTCAATGCTTCTTCTGTAAAGCTTGTTCTGATCAAGAAAGTACCGCATCGCTCTTCTCTTGAGGTGTGCAATGCCCCTTGGGCTCTCTGGTAGTGTCCTCTTCTTGAGATAGTCAATGTAGACTTGTCTCCAGTCAGGGGTATCAAGTTCAAAGCAACCCTCGTCCTCCCGGATGTATAACTGACATTTTGGGCATTTTTTCTGTAGTTGATTCGAGGCCTTCTCCATCTCGGGCCAATAATAGCCTTGTCTTTGGATCCTTCTGTATAGACTAATATCCCCATCTTCGCAGGACTTTTCATGAATCTGTTGTAGTCGGATGCTTGCTTCTTGTTGGCCAACACACCGGGCTAGGAATTCGGTACTTCATCGGAAGTAACGTTCACCATGAATAATTATGAATTGGGAAAGCTTAGCCGTAATCAATTTTCCAACTTTGCTTCAGAGTTGGTCGAGGACTTCTCCTCTCCAGTTCTCTGGAAGGTCTTTGTCCTCGGGTATTGTTGAAGGCTCTGTTCTCTTCTTGATAACAATTGTCGCCTCCTCCTCGAGAATGTCAACTCTTACCACTAGTATTGTGAGGGCATCTGAAAACTTGTTGTCGGAGTGAGGCACATGCTCTATTTCGACATTCTGAAATTTGTCAAGAAGCCTTTGGACTGTCGTGCGGTATGTGGCCAAGGCAGGCTCTTTTAAGACAAACTGTCCCAAAACTTGCTTCACTATTAGCTTTGAGTCCCCCTGAATTTGAATCTTCTTGATACTGTGCTTCTCAGCTGCTATTAAGCCCAAAATGAGAGCCTCATACTCGGCTTCATTATTCGAACAATGGAAGTCCAGTTTATAAGATAAATACAATTTTTCTGCATTTTTGCTTGTAAGGACTATCCCGGTTCCACATTTCCCTCCGGCTACTACCCCATCAAAACTCAATGTCCAAAAGCTTTCCTTGGAAAGCATGGCTGCATGCATTTCTCCTCTTAATTCTTCATTCATTGGCTCATAGTCACTACTTGGAAATTGGGCAAAGAGATCGGCTAAGGCTTGCCTTTTGATCGCCTTAGGAACTACACATGTGATCTCGAATTCACCCAGTGCTAACAACCATCTTGCCACCTTCCCGGTTAGAGCAGGCTTGCTGAGGAGGTATCGAATTGGATCAATTCTGGTAACAATCTGAATCTGATGTGCTAAGAAGTAATGTCTGAGCTTTTGGGCGATGAATACCAAAGCTAAACAATGTCTTTCTACCAGAGTATACCGAACTTCTGCTCCTCGAATCTTCCGGCTGATGTAATATACCAGGTGTTCTACTCCATCTACATCTTTGACCAATAATGCCCCTATGGACTTAGGGCTTAAGGTTAGGTACAACATTAGAGGCACCCCGAGTTGCGGGGCTAACATGGTCTAAGGCGAGGTCAAGGTCACCTTGATTCTCTCGAAGGCCTTTTGGTGCTCTTGGTTCCACTTGAACCTAGCATTTCCCTTTAACAAATAGTTGAAGGGGGCAAAGATTTCTGCAAGTGTTGGGATAAACCTTTGAATATAAAACATCTTCCCAAGGAACTTTTTTAACTCCTTCTGATAATGTGGGAGAGGCATTGCTCTGATAAATTTGCCCTTGCCTTCATCTGCCTCGATACCATGCCTATGTATAAGAAACCCGAGAAACTTCCCGGTCGTCACCCCGTAAGCACATTTAAGAGGATATTCTCATTTTGAATTTCTGGCACCTTTTGAATACTTTCTCAAGATCTCGGAGATGATACTCTTCTTGCTTAGACTAACCACTAGATCATCAACATAATCTTCCACCTCATGATGGATCATATCATGAAAGATTGCAGTCATAGCCCTTTGGTAAGTTGCTTTGGCATTCTTGAGTTCGAAAGGCATGACTGTATAGAAGAAGGTTTCGAGAGGTGTTCTAAAAACAGTCTTTTTTGCATCCTCTTTGGCCATCTTAATATGATTGTATCCGCTAAATCCATCCATGAATGAAAACATCTAGTGTCCTGAGGTGGCATCCACAAGAGTGTCGATGTGAGGTAAAGGGAATTCATCATTCGGGCAAGATTTGTTCAAATCTCGAAAGTCTACACATACTTTGATTTGACCATTCTTCTTCTTCACTGGCACTATGTTTGCCAACCACGTGGGGTACTGTATTGGCCGGATGAAACCTATCTGTTGAAGTTTTTCAATCTCCTCCTTAATTTTCTCTTCAAGATCTGGATGATATTTTCAAGCAATTTGCTTGATTGGTTTGGAGTTTGGGACCACATCAAGATAATGGATGACTAGGTCAGGACCTAGTCTGGGCATTTCCTTAAATGACCAAGCAGACACATCTGAGTACCGGCTTATCAATTTTAATAATTGCTCCCGTTTTTCTAGGCTAAGGCTCGAACTTATAAATATTGGCCTTGGAGCATCTTGTCCGTCACTCAGATCTACTTTAATAAGTTGTTCGAACTGAGGCTTTGGCCCATCTTACATGCATTCTAGAGCCACTTCAGGCTTTATTACTATGTCATTGTCAGGAGGCTCTTCTTTTGACTCGGAGTCGGTGGCTAAAGAAGCCGACTCTCCACATCTTCACAAATAGTACACCATCTTGCCCCCTTCTCGGACTTTCATCACCTTCCGAGGAATAGCAGACTTTCTGGTTGAGACATCGTCCGTTTACTTGATTCTGCCTTTGGCTCCTTGTCATCTTTGATATCCTCCCAACACGGAATTTTGACCCCCCGAGGCTTAGAGGTGTTTGGATTTTCTTCAACAGACAATTCGGTAAAGTAAATGGCATCAGAATAATGAGCTTCATGGGTCTCGAAAGGCCTTTCTGTAGCCTAAATTGTCACCGTCTTCTTTCCCCATTTAGCCTTAACACACTAATGATAACTCGACAGTACAACCCCATATCTATGCATCCAGGTCCTCCCTAGAATGATGTGATAATTTGTCTCGAAATTGATAATATGGAACTTGGTGGCCAAGCAAATTTCTCCAATGGCTAAATCAACTGTTACGTATCCTATAGTATTTTTCTTTTTTCCACCGAAGCCAGTGATGACTATCGACTGCTTCATAATGCGCTCTTTAAAGATTTCGGCCTTCTCTAGAGTAGCTCGTGTCATAATATTGATAGAGGCTCCACTGTCTAGAAAGGCTCTTTTGAACTTAACCCCGTTAATAAAAACAGTCACATAAAGCGGGCGGTTGTGAGAAAATGGATACTTCCGATCAGTCTCGGAGAAAGTAATGGCACTAGATTGCTCTTTTTCTTTCTCAGGATAGATCCCTCGGTCGACATGTATTCTTCATGATGTATCTCGGCTATATTGATGATAGCCTTGGTGATTTCTGTTCTTGCCTCCCTGGAAAGTCCAAACTAGTCAAAGAATTGCTTGAACTTCATACAGTCTTGAAGGGTTTTGGCATAATGATCTGGATCTTTCTCCACTCTTGGAGGCTCGTAGTTAACCATCTCCTCGGTTTCTTCAAAATAAGATGCCATATAAACATGGTGTCCTCCTCTTTCGTAATACTCTTCTCCTCCTTCTAGATCAAAAGGACCTTCAACATCAGTCATAAAGGCTCTACCCTCTGGATTAAGAGCACTTCCATAGTAAACTTGCTCACCCTCGGGCTCGAAGATGTCATCCAGATAACAAGCATCGTCATTGAGATTGGCGATAGCCTCAATCTTTGGGCCTTCATAAGCTATCATAGCAACATCCTTCCCCTTGTCTTGGTACTGAGGATATGGTTGTTCTCAGATGTCTTGAGTCCCTTGCTCTTTGAACCTCAATTCATCTACCTCAACTTTATCTCTAAAGATTTTCCTAAAAGTCCAACATTTTTTTGTCGGATGTTTCAATGTGCGATGATAGACGCAAAACTCGGGACTCTCGCAATCCTTTTTTGATGGAATTTCTTCGACATAAGGCAATTTTAGCTCTCTATCGGCCACACATTCCTTAACTAGAGCTTTTACCTCCTCGATTCCACATGGATAAGAAACATTGCCTTTTTCACCACTATATTACTTCCTCTTCTGGCCTCTATGACCCCCTCCTTGTGACTTTCGGGTATGTGGGGTAGAGACAGTAGCAACAATAGGTCCACGAGACGATTTGAAACTAGTCTTGTAACTGGTCTTAAATCCAGACTCTTGAGCGTGAAGAATGCTAATGTTCTGAGCTACTTCTATTAGTGTTGTGAAGGTGGGTAACTTGTGATTAACTAGAAACATTTTGTACTTATTTAATGCCCCCTCTACATAGATTTGAACCAGATAACTCTCCTCCACAACTTCATGGCAATCTACAGCCTTGTCCTGAAACCTTTTGATGTAGCCAAGGATGTCCTCACTTTCTCGTTGCTTTTCCTTACACAATGTAAGTGTGGTCACCTTCTTTACCACTTGAAAGAACTTGGAGTGGAATTTGTTAACCATGTCCTTCTAACTTCGAATAGAGTTTGGGGTCAAATTAACATACCAACTATATACTCGGTCAGTGAGGGACTTAGAGAATTCTCTCAGCTGAAGGACGTGGTTTGAACCATGAATACCCAGAGTCTCGATGAACCGTACAACATGTTCTCGAGCATTTCCTTGCTTGCCATCGAATTTGATGAACTTCGACACCGTGTGCCCCTCCGGGTATGGATGACTTAACATCTCGATAGGGTAAGGTAGCTTGACATCCGGATCGGACAAAGAGGGTAAAGTTCTCTTGCCCTGTTCAAGATCAAACATGGCTTGCACATTGGCGAGAGTGAGAAACAGTTGAGAGAGAGAGTTTGATGGTGGCATTCCCAGAACTTGGCTTATGGACCTAAAGACTGAGCTAGGAGCGACTTGGTCATTCTGGTGTTGAGAATTCATCATTGGTGAAGACATTTGACGATACTGGCCATCAGCACCTATAGACAAGCCAGTTGGTGATGAGACATTGACTTGAGACTCGTAAAGTCCACTATACGGTGCAGCTAAACCAAGTTGGGCTTACAAATTTGTTGTTGGCACCAAATGAGGCCCGCTTGGTACTTGAGTAACATTTACTGGTGGTGTAACAAGAATAGGTACGGGAAGAGCTCCCTTTTGGGCCATCATACCTATTTTCCTAGACACCAACAGTTGCCGGAGTGCCATTCATTACACCAGAACCTCCCCTAGTCACCATTGGATCTAGGCTTGGCACGCCATAGAGCCCGAGTGTGGGCAAACTGCTGCCGCCTATTGTGGTTTGAGCATGTGTTACTGTGGTTGTGTTGCCATAAGACACAGGTTGAGTGGGGCCTACTTCTCTTTGGATTTGATTTTTCACTCCAGCGGGGATAACTCCATCACCAGTTTGATTTCCGTTTGGTGTCGGTGCAAAGTTAGAACTCATCACCAACATGGTGTGAGTGAGATTCTGAAGAGTGGTAAGAATCTTCTGCTGAGTATTTTGAAGTCCTTGAATGGTTTCGAGTAAAAGTGGTTGATCTAAAGCCATGGTCCTGCCATCGCCACTGTTAGAGGATCCTTGTTGATGAACTTTATCTTTTGCCGTCATCCTTGCTGGAGTTGTGTGGGTTCCAAATCTCGTTGAGACCATTAATCGATCCGCCTCTTCAATGGAGTCGCTAAATGTATGAGAGGGTTCAAAAATATTGTTGAAAAATTCGAAGATCTTTGAAGAAAATTCGAATTCTCTAAAGAAATGGTGAGAAGCTTAGATTCTTCAATAGTCACAACTTAAGAACACAAAAGTAAAGAGATGATGGAGATAAGAGATTTGGTGAAGAATAAGGCAAAGTAGCTAGAGAGAGAATAATGGCAAGACTCTCTCATGGATCTTGCACTTTCACTCTCAGGGTTGATAATGGAGAATGGAAATTAGTTCTTTCCCAATAGTTGTCTCTCCAAAATCCATCCGTTGTAAAGTTATGGATAGATCCTATTTATAGGCACCTCATGATGTAAGATGGAGCCCATGTGCAAGACACATGGGGAATATTCTCTCCAACCACCTTATCCGAGGAGGTGACTTCTTCGAAGATAAGGAAAACCCCGAAGAAAAGATCAACCTCTCGGCAAACCCTTATTCTTAGCCACACCTAACCAATGATCCTCAATCATTCCAAAAGGCCACGGTAGTCCTAGAGGACCTCACGTCGCTAAATATTACCGAGTCTTATGGACCCCCCGGGGTCGTGCCACCTCGACCCGGGTATAGGCTAGTTTAACCGAAAAATGAATTTATCTCCACTCACCGTCCTCGGGATCGGGTCCTTTGTTCGAACTCCATTACGCCCATGGTTCTGGTGCGTAGATCCCGAAAAGCTCCGAGCCCGCAAGTGTTCTGCGACTCACCAATGGAGCGGCTTCTAGATTGCGATCGAATCTGTTCGAAGCCTAAGTGCCTCGGATCTCTAGGCTTACTCAACACCCTTTCGAGTTCGGGCCCGAGTAAGTCTGTAAGTTCGTGGATCCGAATCCTTTCAAGGCTTAGAACAATTCGGCCCGTTTGATGGCGATAAATCCAGTCTCACCAATCTTGGACTTGCGATAAATTCGGGCCCACCAACCTTGGATTATTGGGCCTAATTAATTTAGTAGGCTCAAATTAACTCCAACCTTGGATTATTGGGCCTAATTAATTTAGTAGGCTCAAATTAACTCCTCTTACAGAAGGCAATGCTTGACACAGAAAAATAAAAAAATCCAAACATAATATTAATTTTTTATTATTAAATAGGAAAAAAGTTAGTAAAATTGAAGAATTAGAATTGTTTTACACACTATAGACAATTTACTAGGTGCATTAGCAGTTCCACTACCCTTTCTCTCCCTTCATTTGAGGTTATTGTCTCTAACCTCTCTCTTAATTCCAAAGGGTACCTTAAAATGTTCAACACAAACAAGCAATTCCTTGAAGAACAAAATGATACACAAACTGATTGAGAGAGAGAGAGAGAGAGAGTTACAAATGTCAACAAGCTGTCAAGACAAAGGAGCTTTATTTGCTTCTACATAGTAGTCTCCATAGTCTTTGCTTTCACTTGTCATCCTTTCCCCGATGTATCTGTAGTATATATACTGCAATATGATCTGATCATTATGGTTGTTAAGGTGTACAAACAGTGATAAACTATATGTGCTAATAAAGTCACATTTGGGATGTTCGAACAACATTTGGGCACGTAGAAAGGATTTGGTTAAGAGTAGTACTCATTAAGAAGCTTAAAATAATTGTACATTCTCTCATAAAAATTGATAATTAATGAATGTACAACCATGCAATGCTTTGTCAATCAATATTGTCTTAAGGACGTCCATTGACAAAGACAAAATTTAGTTGCACTGAATTAAATTACAACTAACCTACCTTGTTAACGAATGATGAATAGAAAGTAGTTCTTATATTTATACATAAATCAATCCCAGAATCGGACACAACCATCATACTGAACAAAAGGATGGAACCCACCTCATGTATGAATGTTGTCTCTGATTTTGTGATTGATTTGTATGTTAATAGAAAAGCTAACTTGTGCCACGGAGGAAGATGTGAAAATTAATAATAAGGATACAAGTAAGTCGAGTGCCACGCAGACCACAGCATCCAGCAACCAGGGTATGTTGGGTTTAATCTTGTCCCACTCAGATGTTCTTACAACTATGCTGCATTGTTCTCCATCATCAACAAAGCTTCAGATACATACATATATATATATAGAGAGAGAGAGAGAGAGAGAGAGAGCACCTTCCGACATAAGTAGCATTAGCAATGAGTGCGAAGATGAACATGAGTGGATTCAGTCCCTACATGATATTGTTTTAGACAAACTTGTTTGTTATTTTAATTTTAACAAGTGTTTAGGATATAAGGGTAATTAAATAAGGTTCCAACTTAGAATACGAAAGTAAGCGTCATTCACCTCTACGCTCCCTCTTTTAATCTGGTCAATCAATGAGGGAAATAACATCCATTAGATACCAAGCATACATCATGAAATTGAAAAAATAAAGTTTTGAATTAAAAAGCATACATTTAAGCAGATTTGAGGGATACGACCACCCATGTATATTGCAGCCATCATCCATCCTAAACATTGCCCAATCACATTGTTCTCCGTGCTATTTTGTTCCTGTCAAATGTACATAAAATAACTTCAATCAACTTCTTTCTAAAAAATAAAAAAAGAACTTCAATGAACTTCCTGTTGGGATATAAGAAAAGAAAAATATTAGGCATCCCAAATCAAGTGGGTCTCATGTGGGTTCCACATCTATATAAGACATTTGATAAAAATATTTATAAAACATTTAGGGTCCGTAGCATTACTCATAAGAAAAAGAACTACATGCAAGTAGGAGTTAGGGAAAAAAATTACAAACCCATGGGGTGCAAGTGTGTCTGTGATGGGGTGTAAATGAAAGATAGTGGTTACGCCCCTTCATGTGTTGGTAATTTTTTTTTTCCCAACTCACACCTGCATATAGTTTCCTCTAAGAAAAAAGGACTCAAAAAAAAGTAAGCTAGATTAAGATTCTTTGTCATTATTTCTTTGAATTTTTTATGGGTTTTACCACAATAATATGTTAGGGACTTACATAATCAAATGATTCATGTTTAAAATTAAAATAAATGACATTAAAATGCAGCCTTTTTATTTGAAATTTGGACAGTTAGATCACCCCAATAATATCATTGCAGTGAAAAGAATTATAGAATATCTTGATCCAGACAAATTAGGGGGGGTGTCTTGTGGGCCGTAGAGACCTCTTGTTTTGATTCTGTGATATATTTTACAATGAATGATTTCTATATATCCGCTGTTTTTTTTTTTTCACTATTTTCTATCACCTAGTACATGGCAAAATAATCTTGCTATCAGTAATACCTTAATAATTATATTCAAACAAGAAAATCAATCATAAATATCTGTCTCATTGACGTATAACATTTTTCGTTTTGATAATAATATGATGATCATTTTTTTTTTACTATGTTTTGTTTATATCCTCTTCTATGTTATTACTACATTAAAACACATATAAATTGTGGATCAATTGAACTATATAATTTTGACACATAAGACGATATACTAAATATTATATACACAAATTTGTAAATACACAAAATCCAATTAGAAGCAGATACAATCCTCTAACATGAGATGCCACTCTTTAGTTGTGTGGGTCACACTTCATGTGAGAGAGTTGAATTCCGTTCTCTAATCGAATTTTGTACACAAATTTGAGCATCCTAGCATTACTGTGTGTGCCAAAAATGAGTCACACTAATCATACTTGTAAGAGTCTCCTCCCACTTAATCCCATGTATACATGCATCAAGGCCTTACTTCCACTGGGCAGGCTTATTGATGCAGCAAGGAATGCTGCAGAACCAGCCTGAAAAATATGTAATCCCACAAACATAAAATTGAATTGAGATTATTAATCATAAATGTGACTCTTTTTTTAAACAGAAATTAATTGGTAATTAAAGATGAAAAATGAGAGACGCTCACAGATCGTGGGATGGGCTTAGGCTTGCTACGAGATTTATGGGAAGAAGCTCGAATAGGCTCATCATCTGATGATGAGTCGTGTTCGAGTCCCATTACTGATGGAGGACCACTTCTAGCTGCCCTTAGAGGAGACCGTGTTGGTAGAGTGTTGGTCCAAGCCAGAGATCTTGCGGACCTAACGAAAAAACAAAACAAAAACATATATATAATTTTTTTCTTCAATTAATCAAATATATTTGGTTGGGCTTTTGTGTTTCATAATATTAGAAGCACAACAAACAATGAAAAAAAGTTATAATTCATTTATAGTTTTCATATCATTTTTTGCAAAAATAGTTTTTAAAATTAATTTTGTAAATTACATCATTAGTTTTTTATAGTTTAAGCGAAGTGTCACTCTAGTTCCCGTAGCTTCAATTTGAACAATTTAAATCATATACAATCATATATTTTGGTCAAGTATTCTTTTTTAGGCTCATCATTACACAATCTAATCCTTTTTTCAAGTAAATCCAGAGAAAGAAATTCTTTGGATAGAACCTCCATTCTATTTATCAACTTTTTGTTTAGATTGTTACCTTTTTTGTTTGTTGGTTGAAACCCAATGGTTGTACAATTCATCAGAGGAGAGTTTTTCTATTATGGACAAGGACATCTTTCTTTGTATCATTTTACAAATAGCTGATAAACTGGGTGGAAACGTAAAAACTATTCTTTTTTTTCCATAGTTTTGTTGCAATACTGTTCCACCGTCATACATTGTTAACATTTTGAATGAAAAAATAACACTTTGAAAATTAGAGAGACCAAAGTGGAATTCAAAATAACCTATAGGGACCACTAGTGTAATTTATTTATTACACCAGGTGGTCCCTATATTTTCCTTTGAATTTTATTTTTGTCCCTCTAATTTTAAACATAGTATTTTTCCATTTAAAATTCTAACACTAAGTGACAGAAGATCACATTGCAACAAAACTGGAAGTATAGAATTCACATTGTTTAAATTAAAAACTAAAAAAATCATAGTGAAATTTGGCTCAAGGTAGAAGGACTACCAATGTGATTTACCTAAAATAATGTTTTGACATTTTTAAGAAGTGGGTTGTTCTTGAAATAAATTCTCAAAACATATCCCCCAAACAAGTTTTGTAATTTTATTTTTTATTTTTTATTTTTTTTGGAAATGGAAAATGGAGAAAGAGAACATGATCAAAAATGGAAAATAGCATATAATAAATGTTGGAGAAAATTGATATACATACACGTAGTAAATTTCCCTATGGCGCTGATGCATTATGGGGGTGCCACCAGGTATTGGAATGGCTGAATCATATGGTTTAGGTGGCTTCAAAAATTTTCTTTCTTCTTCAACCTAACAAAAGCACAATTTGTTAGTCATATTTTTAGCTGCCCTACATGTTACTAGAAAAATATTCAAAATTTAAATATATACATACATATATATATATAAGATGTATTTAGCATGATTATGATCTATATATTTTAAATTTTCGACACTATTTGTATAATTTTTTTGGTTTTGTATAATATTTACTGTAAATTACACTGCTTTCTCCTAAAAATTTGAAGAAAAAAAAAAATGAATCATATGGTTTAGGTGGCTTCAAAAATTTTCTTTCTTCTTCAACCTAACAAAAGCACAATTTGTTAGTCATATTTTTAGCTGCCCTACATGTTACTAGAAAAATATTCAAAATTTAAATATATACATACATATATATATATAAGATGTATTTAGCATGATTATGATCTATATATTTTAAATTTTCGACACTATTTGTATAATTTTTTTGGTTTTATATAATATTTACTATAAATTACACTGATTTCTCCTAAAAATTTGAAGAAAAAAAAACAATACAACGTAAAATTTGACGTAATTACATGGAGCTCTTTTATAATTTTAATTATCAAAACATATAATTTAGTAATTCATTAGTCATATGAATAGCAAAATGATGTTGTCAATCAAAACATATAATTTAGTAATTCATTAGTCATATGAATAGCAAAATGATGTTGTCATCTCTTTTGCATTGCAACGTATATTTTACCTTATTCATCTTTGCCTCTTCACATCATTTACATTAGTTCTAATCATTTTAACTTTATTAAAAGATGATCTGTGTAATTATACCAAAACTATAGAATTAACTATAATTTCTCCAAATATCACATATTTCAAATTTTGGGTACTTCCTATATTATTTTTCTGGATTTATTTTTTTCTAGATTTATATAATATTTATGATATGCAAATACTCTGTGTGTGTGTCTACATTCCGCAAGTTTATTTATTAGACAGTAAAGAAAATTACTTAAATTGTGGAAGAAAAATAAGAAATTTGTACCCCTTGATTGTGCTCAATCCTTTGGGCCTTCAACCAGCTATATAAGTGATCATAGTAAAGGCTTTGCAACACCAACACTACAGTACTTGCTGTGTACAGCTGTCAAATATTAACAATGCACACACATGAATTTGTAATACGTGTTCAAAAATTAAACAAAAAAACAAGAACGAAACAGAATTGCAATACAAATCAAATTATAGTTATACAAACAAACAAAAAAATCTGATGAATTTTGTATAATCTGTCACAAAAAAAATAAAAGCTAGTTGGAAAGTGGCATTACCAGAGCTGTGTAGAACTGAGTGGGCAACTGTAATCAGAACCCCAAAAAAATTGTTATTGTTGATAATTGCAACAGATAAGCAAAAAGGTTTCCTGCAAATATACTTCTATATAGTGTTTCGACAAAAAGAGATCTGTTTGGTTTAATTTTTTTAAAATTATTTTAAATGAACTTTTATTTATTTTTAGTAAATTTTTTTAAATGCAACTAATATAGATGTTTCTATTTTTTTTATTTTTTATTAAAACCATAAGAAAACTCAAAATTTTGACGGATTGGATTTTCTTTCGTTTTTAGTTTTTTTTAAATATATTTTAGTTATTTTTTTATACTTTTTAAAAATATTTACATTAGGTACATTTAAAAAATTAATATATATATATATATATAATTTCAATAAAAATAAATAAAAATCAATAATCAACATATTTTAAATGTTTGCAACACCCTCTCGTAACTGTAAATATTTATTGATATTTTGAACCTTTCATATCCATATATATATTTTGTAACTATCAATATTTATTGTTCCGTTGAATCATTCATATCAATATAACAATATGACTAATATTATATGTATTAATTAATATATTAATTAGTGCATTAATTGATAATATAACATAATTTAAGAAATTTTTAAAATTTATAATGTGATTAATAAGTGAAGTCAATAATAATATCATAATTAATATTGATACACTAATTAATGTATTAATTAATATATATTGTAGGACTTTCATATCCATATATATATTTTGTAACTATCAATATTTATTGTTCCGTTGAATCATTCATATCAATATAACAATATGACTAATATTATATGTATTAATTAATATATTAATTAGTGTATCAATTGATAATGTAATATAATTTAAGAAATTTTTAAAATTTATAATGTGATTAATAAGTGAAATCAATAATAATATCATAATTAATATTGATACACTAATTAGTGTATTAATTAATATATATTGTATGACCGGAACAATATATCAATTTTTATATAGATGTATCGAGAATGTCAATTGTAGTGCGTAACTGCACAGAACCTCACGCCCTGATTAGCCGAGGATCCTCTAAAGTGTTTTTTTCTTAAAGTTTTTTAAAGTAGTGTATTGTGTGGTTGAGATTTAATGTTGAAAAATTGATTTGACTTGTCATTAAATCTCAACCACACAATGCACCACTCTAAGAAATTTTAGAAAAAAAAAAACTCTAGAGAATCCTTGCTCGATTAAAAGGCACCTTTGGACGGTTGAACTCGTCAGTTTTTTGTCTTTTTTAGAAGTCGCATGGTTTTTTACTCATTAAAAAAATTAAAAAACTAATAACTTATATTAAAAAATCAAAAATTTTCTTTTCATTTTATTTTTTACATATTTTTTTATAAAAAATTAAAAAATCATTTCAAATATATTAATTTTTTTACATCATATATTAGTTAAAAAATCAAAAATTTACTAAAAAAAATTTGTTCCCAAACGAGGTCTTAGTGCTTGTGTGGAAAGTTAAGTTTGAGGTTTTTTTCAAAATATACCTCATTCAATTTATAATTATTATATTTTTTCTTTTATAAAAGTAAAAAAAAAAAAAATCCAAACGAAGGCTTAATGCAGTAGTTTTGGAACATCATCTGCAAAAAACAAAGGTTTTTTTTCTTCTGATTATTTGCTAAAACTAGAACACATACCGTTGCAGGCTCAAGAAGACAACCCACTAAATTGAAAACATCACTGCATGAGAGAGAGAGAGAGAGAGAGAGAGAAAAAAAAAAAGTAATGATCTAAGACTTAATTAAGTGGTAAATAAAACAAGAAATGAAAATATGAAAACAAACCCAGCAATCCAAGTAAGGAGAAAGAGAAGAGAGACTCCATGGCTGGACTTGGTGCGGAAGTTGGTGATGATCTGTGGGATTTCTGCAACTCCCCAACAGACCAGACTTATGAGCCCAAAAGCAAATGAAAGCTCATCATTGAAGTTGCATAAGCAATCCTTAAAATACTTCTCTACCCACCCTACACATTGCTTGTTCTCTTTCACACAATATGCTATTGAGTTTCGTAGACCCTTCATCTCTCTCTCTCTCTCTCTCCCTCCCCCTCTCTCTAATATTGAGCAATTGTGGCTGCTCAGGTTATTAAAGGTGGTGATGATTTTAAAAGGAAAACACATATGCATTGAGAAATGGGTAATTATTCAATAATTTCGGAACATAGACCCGTGATATTATACAGTATTGTAATTGGTGGAGAAGGTGATAGGTGAGATATTATGTTAGGTGATTTAGAAACATGAGAGGGCATATTTAATGATGATTGGTTAAGAAATATGAATACATAGTACTCCAGAAACATTCTACAATTTCCGTTGAAAAATTACATATAAATTTTATTTAAAAAATAAAAATGCTATGGAATATGGAGAATATTCTGAATTTTATCCCAAAAAAAGATGTGCAGTATAAATTTAAAAGTAGTGTAATATGCATTTCAATAAAAAAATAATTGAATGAATACTTTTTTAGGTAATTTTTCTGGTATATAATACTGTTGTTAAAAAATGACGCAGAAGATTTGTATTTCTTAATTTCAATCTAAAAGAGGTATCAAAGTGACTTACCATTATAAAAATATCACTAATAGACTATTTTGATGAATTTTTTTGTATAAATTTTTATATTGTAACATAAAAGTAAAGGACTTGATTTTTATTTATTTTTTTGGTACAAAAATGCACTATAAAAACTGGAAAAAAAAATCAAAAATTATTCTAAAAATAACTTACTCTTTATTTTTTTAAAATAATTTTCAAAGTACATAAAATTTTCTATTTTGGGTAAGTAGAGGTTTTAGATAACGGATCTGGGGATCACTTACCCTCTGTGGTGTTGTGCTAAGAGGGATTTGGGAGGGTAGTTTGACAGTATCCATGCTATGAGATTTTCTACTGAATATGTTAGTAATCTTAGCTGTAAGAATTATATATTTTTAGAAGTAAAAAATGTTTAAATAAAAGAAAAACTCACAGTATCCTTCTCAAATTTGTGCCAAGAGAACCATGCACTTCTTTTAGTTTCAATTCAAGGTCGGAAATCTTTTTTTTTTATTTTGTAGATTTGGGATCGGAAATCTTAAAAACTCAAAACTTTACCAACAATGAGATTATGTGGCGGAGATTGTGGGTAAAATTTATGTGGCAGAGATTGAGCTGATAAAATAAAATTATGACAAAATTTGAATTGGTATAATATATGGTCCATATATAGAAGGAATATGAATCATAAAGTGATATTCAGAATAAAAATTTTGAGTAAAATTTTGTCAGGTTTGGGAACAACTTTTGTAGTTAAAATATTCTGTAAAAATAAAAAAAAACTAAAATAATTAATAAGATAAAATGTTAAATTCTACATATCAATCAATTATTATTTTTTTCACAATTGTCTATTTAATTAAAAAAATATTAATAAATCATTTTAAACATAACCTTTTTTTCTTATCTTATAAAATAATTAAAATAATCAAATCACCACACGTGACAGATTTAAGATTATTCTGTGTCACATTGTATTGATTATAGCTCGGTCGGCCTTAGCGTCTCTGTGGGCCCATTTGAATACTGTATTGTGTCTCTTTTGAATATCATTTTATGCATAATGTTACATCTATCTATACTACTATAGAGGGAACACCTCTTATAGTGTCTTGAAGTTTTGTTTCTTATACTATCACGTGTGTATTTTTTTAATTTAAAATTAAAAAAAAATTAGATAGATAAGTGAAGGAAATTTGAACCTTAGACTTTTATCAAATGAATAACACTCTTACCACTTGACTAACACACAATATATAATAAATTTTTTATTTTATTTTTATTTATTTGAATAGCACACGCATCGCGTGTGCCAACCACTAGTACTATTAAAAAGAACACTACTCCACAACACTTATTCACCTGTAAGTATTCCAGGAAGGGAAAAAAAAAATATTGGTCCACATCATTTTAGAGTTACAAGACAATTTTGAGGGTTTCAACCATTTTTAGATTTTGTTTGGTAATAAAGACTCGCTAAAAAAACATACAATTCGATTTTATTATGATATAATGAAAAATAATATTACACGCACTAATTAATGGATTAACTAGCATATCAATTAATGATATAATATAATTTAAAAAAATTTTGATATTTATAATTTATATAATGAATGAGATCAATAATAATATCATAACTAATACTAATACACTAATTAGTACATGTAATACAACCAATGAAACCTTCTCTTTTTAACAAAGCCAGCCACTTTCATATTCTTTCGCTATTTTGCTTCTAGGAAGTTGTCACTTGTGGGAAGAAAATTAATAACAACAGGCTTTTGTTAACATCTGTTTTGAGAACATATATTTAGAAAGTAGAAAATTTTAATTAAAATTTCTCTATGATTTTTGTTTTGCGAAAATGATAACTTAATTAAAGAAGACGCATATATAATTGAGTAAAAATAGAGTAAATTTTTTTGATAATATTGTCAGAGTAACATGTTACTGTGAACTAAAGTAACATCTTATTATCAAATAAAGAGGTGTTTTGGGAACTTAGCTTTTAACCACTTTTTAGGTTTGTAGCAAAAATCAAAAGTTGATTTTTTTGTATTTTTTTTCATTTGGAAAGTTGATTTTCAGCCATTAGTGAAATTACAATTTTACCTCTCATGGATCAAAATGTGTTACATGAGTGAAATTGTAAATATTTTAAATTGAATGGGGTAATTTGATCATTTTATTATGATTTGATATTATAAATAAATATTAATCAAAAAAGTCAAAAGCGACTTTTCATCAACTTTCCAAATCATTTGTCTAAAAAAGTCAAAAGCTTGGTTAAAAGCCAAAAAATTACTTTTTACCATCTTTTCAAAATAAATCAGTTTTCAAAATTACCTTTTGATAGTATATTTTTTTAGACATATCAATTGTCATAATTGTACTTTTTGTATTATTAATGGATTTAAAAAAAAGGACAAAATAAGAAATTCATATTATTTTAATAATTAATTTTTTTAAAAAATAATATTTTTAGATAATAGAAAATAAAATAAGATATTAATAATTTTGGATGGTGGGTGTACAACCTAAAAATAAAAATAAAAATAAAAATAACTATTTTGTTTAGTCAAATTTTCAAGTGGAGACTAATGGTATTGTTATTAATAAAATAAAACAACTATTTTGTTAATTTTTTTATTTTCATTCGGCTACCAAACAATTTAGTAGCTAAAGGTACCTCTAGGGCTACTAAATTTTTATTTAGTCGCCAATTGTCATATGTTTAGCTACTAAAAATTGTTTTAGTCGCCAATTGTAATATCTTTAGCTACTAAATTTTTTTTAGTAGCCAATAATCAACATTCCCCTACTAAAAAAAATTAGTAGCTAAAAAGTTGACTTTTGCCGACTAATATTATTTTTGGTAGCCAATTCTGTGGCTTTTGCCGACTAAATTAGTTTTGGTAGCTAAAAGTGGTCGGCAAAAATGCTTTTTCTTGTAGTGTTTACATCAATTTTGATTGTAATTATTTTTTTTTATAAAGAATTTTATAGTCAACATGGATCTTATTTGATAGATTTTGATGAAAGGATTTTAAAAATACTAATTTTATTAAAAATCGACATCTAGATAAAAAAAAAAATTATATTATTTTAAGATTTTATATTTTAATAATAATTATATATGTTAGACTTTTGAAAAAAAATAATTTATACTTATCTTTAATGCATTAAAATTTTATTATGAGAAATTTTGATAAATCCCCCAAGGAAGTAGGAAATGAGTATATTTACTTTATTTGTGTAGAAAATAATACAATATTAAAAGCCATATTAATTTTTTTTTTTAAATTATATTTATAATGAGACCAACATACCTTTTTGCTTTGCACCATTCTCCTCCCTTATCTTCAAAAATAACATAATTAATTTTCATTTTACTCTTATATTCTCCATATAAGTATAGAAAGTTGAAATTCATTTATTACTATATGCTCTTAAGACACATATTAACAAGTGGTGGTATTACATGTCTCAATTAATGTACATATTAATATACTAACTAGTTTTATGCTATTATTATTGACCACACCTATTATACAAATTACAAATACTCAAAACATCTAAAATTATATCACATCATCTGTTAATCTACTAATTAGTACATTAATTGAGACCCTAAAAATTCTACCAAAGTTTCTACCAAATGTCTTATATGGGTGTGGAACCCACATAATGTGGGTCCATGTGAGTTCTACACCCATATGAGACATTTGGACATTTGATAAATTTTTTAAAATTTCTAACATTTTTTATATAATAAATCTGATATTTCATTTACAGTAAAAGCATTAATTATGTGGATTCATAAATTATTATAAACCTCTTCAATCAAGGAATGTAAATATATATTGTCAAATTCGTAAATTTTCTATGAAACTTGATGGTTCTGGAATGGACCTTCTGGTCTGGTTACATTTATTCACTTTCTACATTGGATAAATCAAATCAGACTAAAGATCTTTTTTTTCTTTCTTTTTTTTTTTCTAAAATTATTTATTCTTTCATCTGAAAACACTTATCATCGCTGAATAATGTAAGAATTTTAAATAATTTTTTAAAGCATTAATTTAACAATTGATAATATTTTAGAATTAGTAATGCTATCAAACAAAAAAATTAAAAAAAATTGTACAGAATGACATGATTATATTGTGAGTCTATCACTTCAAAATAAATAATTTATCAAAAATATCACTACCATATTATTTTCGTGAAAGATTTTGTATAAAGAATTTACTTCAAGTGACCAAATCAAATTGGAGGAGGATTTTCTGCTGATAAGGTGTTGTTGGCCTCTTCTGGACTCATTATGGATCCTTCTCAATGATTTAAATCAACCATTTTGTAAAACTCTTCAAATAGATCGTTCATACCAATAATGATATTGATCAGATTATTGTAAATGGGCCACTAAACCATCCAATTTACTTAATAGGCTCCACTGCGTACCTTATTTTAATGATCTGAATCATTCATTTGATAGAATCTTTTAAGTAAGGAATGATTTGAAAAGTTAGT